TTGATCCCATCAGGGTGTCCCTGGACCTTGCTGCACTGGCTACCCTTCCCTCTCCATATCTCCCTTTTTATGTATTTTCCAGTGTCTCATAAAATGAATTCCATTCAAAAAGATTTCTCTTGACTGTCAAGACCCTCCTCCTCCTCTCTTTTCACTTAGCCATGCTTCTGGAAAAAGAACTCTGTGACTTTTCACTTCTTCAGCCACTACTCTCTGGCCCTCGCTTCTATCACCCCCTTTCAGTCCTTTCCTAAAGGCCTCCAGTAATCCCCATGCTGCCTAATTAGCTGTTAATGTTTGAGCTTGTATTTTACTGGACTATTCTGTGCATCTGACACAGATGCTTTGTTCAGGAAGCTCTTGACTCTACTGGCGTCCGTGAAGCTCCCATGACACTGGCTATACAGGACCTGTCTGTCAGTGTCTCTATCGAAGATGAGCATCTCCACTTAGTTTCTGGCTGAGCAAGGCCATGCTGTCCTCGGACAGAAAACCCACCCACAGCCAACCTGTGCAGGGGTGCTGAGCAGGCCTGAGGCAGCAGTCATGGGAGGCCTGGCCCAAGATACACAGCAATAGATAAACCAGAGTAGATGACGAGAGGGAGAGGGGAAGCTTCTCCTTACATTCACTATTCACTGTCCCCAGTTCTCATTTGTTTAATTGCCTGAAGGCTTGAGACTTAGCACTTTTTATATCTGTGACAGTGCTTATAATAATGAATTATTGTTTATTGAGCTAGTGTTGAAGTTTCTGTTGGCTGTAATCAAAAGGAAGCTTGTCCAAAGCAGACACCTCACACGGTATAAAAATTGTCCTCTGAAATATGCATTTGTGGCTTTTATGGGGCGTGACCCATGCGGTTCCTCATTTTAATTCTCTCTTGCTGAGCATGAACATAACCATATAAATCTACTGGATTTTGTGGATCTAGCAGCAAATGGCCGGGGTCACTTACAGGAAGTTTATAGGGGTCCACGTGCCCATGAAACAAACCCAGTTTGGTGGGTTACACCTAGCTCTGCCGACCTAATCTCAGAGTCCTCTGACTTCTACTTTAACATCCAGCAAAATCAGGACCTTTTTTTAAAAAGCAGCTTCCTGATTTTTGCTGAAAATTCTCTAACTGGAACATGGAAAGTCTCATCATCCCTAAAAAAGAAAAAATTCTTTTTGTTGCTAGAATCATTTATTGTCATTTATGACAATTGTTGGACAGCTGAAGCTCTGCATTCTTTTATTGAGTTATGCTCCCCTGTGACCGGCAGTTATTGCCAGCTCTCCTCCTTTCCTGCTCTCTTAAATGCATTCTTGTCACATGCATCCTACGCCAGGCAAATGTTTCCACTGCACGTACACTTGTGCATGTTCCTCCCCTCACCACTCATCTCTTCCTAGCCTCCAGGACTCAGCTCAAATTGATCTTCTTAAAACCTTGTTTGGAGTCTCCAGCTGCAATCCTTCCTGTCTTCTTCTAAGCCCAGAAGTTCCAAATGGGGGTGATCATTCCCCCTAGGGGATAATGGTAATATCTGGAGATACACTTTGTTGTCACGACTTGGGGAAAGAGAGAAACTAGCACTTAGTTGGTAGAGGTCAAGGATGCTGTTAAACATCCCACAGTGCATAAGACATCACCTAAGAAGGAACTATCCAGCCCACAATGTCGTTAACGTGGAGAAATGCTTTGTCTAGCACCATATCATTTGATGACTTGCTATAATCTTCAGACTAGACGAGAACTTTAGAAAACAACGGGTCACCCCCTGAAATTTATGGGTAAGGGAAAGATGGAGACCTCGTTGACAAGGCTTTGTCTTCTCACCTCTTGGTCTTTGAGCACTGCAACTTCATTATGCTGCATAGGCTTAAAAAATTATATAGGCCCTCCCTGAGGCACAGCGGGTTAAAGCGCAGCATTGCAAGTGAGCCGCAGCTGCTTCAGTGTGAGTTCGATCCCACCCTGGAGGTGACCCACATAGTGCAGCAGACTTCTCATCCCTCTTCTGTCTGCCTGTTCTGCTCCCCACTCTGTCTCTGGTGAATCCTCTCACTCTCCCTGGACCTCTGGCCTCTATGCATAAATAAATAAATCTTAAAATAAAAGGATAAAAACCACAAAAATGAATATATATGTGTGTGTGTACACACAAAAATTAAACCAAACCAAACAAAACAATATATGTAATCAAGGTTAGGATTTTAGTATTAAATGTGCACTAACTCTCCATTCCAGCCTCCTACTTTTACCCAGGAACTAGGTCCAGTATGTACCTTTTGACAGATCAAAGATTTTGTGAAACAATTTTATTTTAAAAACAACGGTAGGATTCTCTCCTGGATATAACCTTCCATGATGTAGATGACTATGTTTAAATCACAGAAAGAAGAAATTCTACAGAGACCTTCTGCGGAAGTCTTTTCATCGTTAATTAGAGTAAATACCAGCCAAGTGAGTCTTACACATTTAAATGATGGTGGTAAAAATTACCACCTTCAAAGCCCAGAAGAAAACAGGAAAGGTTTCTACTGAGGGGAATGATTAACTGAATCTTACAGAGAAACTGAAAAATAAACAAATGAAAAAATACCCAACAAGTACTAGAAAGGACATATAAATGTCTATGAATAACTTATTCTCATAAATAAACAATTTTCCTTAAACAATGCAAGTATGTAATTGTTGATACAGAGTTCAAAACAGCTAGGTTAAGCAGCCAATGACACAACAAGACTTTCTATTGGAAAAGAAATGCTGATCGGCTCACATTCTGCCTTGCAGAGACAGAACTGTGTAAGCAGAAGTTCAAGGGCAGGCCTGGTACCAGCTCACCCTGGGTTTGAGTTCTGGCAGGACCATGAAGCAGCTGTGTGATTTGGACAATGCACTAGTTCCTCAAATCCACGTCCCTTCAGCTTTGAAGCCAAGATCAGAAACAATATTTTCCAAAATATAACATTATGAAGATTTGAGGAAGGAATACAGGCAAAGCTCTCACCACAATTGGGCTAAATCTCAGAACTAAATTAAGGTGGCTATTGTTACAACTATTTCCATTTACTATCCTTTCCTTTTATTTCCAAAAAAAAAAAAAAAGCAAGAAATGGAAGAAATTCCATTTCCTCAAAGTGTGATATCTACTTCATAATAATATGGAAGAGCAATGTTATCACACTGGAGCCTTCACATTTAAAATAAAACAATAAGCAATGACTTTAAAATATGTCTTCAGGTTAAAGTTGGCTTAGAGGATGTCTGCTTCTCTCCCCTTTTCCTTTCTCCTCTTCTCTCTCTTTTCTCCCACCTCCCCTCCCTTTAACAAGGTGGGCAAACACATTATATGAGAATAAGCAAGTAAACTATCCTTTCTGGTACTTGTTGAGTTTCTTTTTGGCTTGTTATTTTGAGTATGCCATGCAGCTAGAGTTACAGAAAAGTCCAAGAAGAGAAATTTCATAGTGTGGGCAGCTAACCCTGGTTCATTACTAAGGTATAAGATAGCAACCAAGTCCTTCAACTATTACCTGTCCAATAAGGGGCTTAGCAGATGATTACTAAGGTTTCTTCCAGTTTTAATGACTGGATTGCATTTTTATTTCTGGAGAGCCATATTGGAACTCAATTCAAATATGCTGTTCAAGATGATCAACCTGTCAAAAGAGTGGAACATTATTTTAAAAGGAGACTTTGTGTGTAGATAGGTAACTTATTCAAGCATTACGCTATAAGTTCCCAAACCAGAGCTGACATTTTGGAGCTGTGGATCCTGAGGAAGGGCCCAAGATTGAGATCATGCTCCCTATTGCCGCTGACTGGCTTTGTCTGCCAGACTGCAAGATGTGCCCAAAACCACCTAGAGGACCTCTGTACAGGACCCTTTGACTTCAAAGGTCAGTCTTCCTCCTTCAGCCCCTGCCACGTGGCCCAGCTTGTCAGTGGGAATTCCCCTGTGGGTGCAAATGATCAGGATAGTAGATTAGGGGAAGTACTCAAATAGAAAATAGTCCTTTGAAAATTGGAACCTCTCACTCAGTCCCCCGCAAAGAGTCCCATTCTATTAAAACCTCAGGCTCCAAGCTGTTGTCCAGGGCTCACCTACCTTGGCTCAGAAATCTCAATAGACTGAGTGCAAACCATTCCTGCGATGACGACTCAATTTCAAAACCCCCGATCTCTTAGTGTGCGCCAGACGCAGAGGGCACAGCAGTGAGCAAAAAACAATGAAGACTGGGCTAATTCCAATTTATCACGCTGTCCCGACCATCATGGGTTTACTCCCTGGCCTGCGAAATGGAGATACTCTTCACCTCACAGAGTTGATGTGAGGATATAAGGAGATAATGCGCAACTGGGCCCTTGGAGAGAGACTTCGTGAAAGTATGTGGGCACACGATAAAAGAAAATGGGACACGTTGCTCCTGCAGGTATGTTGACGTAGTTTCCCGAAAAGGAGAAACTTAACGAGAGCAAGTGGAGACTGGAAGAAGTGTAAATGATTTTCATCTCAGTTTTCAAACGGTGGAACTTGAGGTCTATCGCCGCGTTCCTCCCTGGACTAGTCACCGAGAACGCCAGCTGGATATGCCAACAGAAAGTAAAGATCACGCTCACTCTAGTGGTGGCCAACTGGGCCCGCGCAAAGCTTCCTGCCCTGCTCTCCTCACTCTCATCCCACGCTCGCCGGGCCCCAAGGCGGGGGAGGACGCGGTGCGGCCACCCGGCCCTGGCCCCGGGCTCCCGCGCAATCCAAGCGCGGAGAGGAAGCAGGCGCGGCGAGAAGAGGCGGGGCGAGGCCCAGTGGGCGGACCCCGGGGGCGGGGCCACGGCCGCGGCCGCCGCCGGACAGGGAAAGGAAGTGGGCGTGGCGGGGCCAGATGGAGGGCGGAGCCACAGGCTGGGTCTCGCGCCCGTGGGGGCGGAGCCCGGGGCTCCGCGGGGAGTAGCCCGGCAGAGCCCTGGGTGGGTGGGGCCAAGGGGTCGGATCCTTGGCTGGGCGGGATTCACGGCGCGCAGAGACCGAAGCCGGCCACTTGGTCAGTCCGCCAGGTCGAGTTGCGCTGCCTGTCGGAGCCCGGGACGCCGCGCCACGGGGGAGGAGGCGAAGGGACGCGGCGATGGCTCCGCGGGGACTCCCGGGGTCCGCCGTCCTCGCCGCTGCTGTCTTCGTGGGAGGCGCCGTGAGCTCGCCGTTGGTGGCCCCGGGTGAGTGGCCCCTCGGGCTGGGGCGCGCAGGAGTAGGCGAGGATCCGGGCGACAGTCCCGCTGTGCACCGAGCGGCCCTCGTCCTGGCACGGCCACGGGATCCCGGCGCTGGACATCTGGCTGTCCGGGGGTGGAAGGGCGCGGCGCGTGGCTCTGGCTCCGCTCCCTCCCTTCCCACTTCGCGCCGGCTCCTCCGACGACCGGTTTCCCCCTCCTCCTTCACCTCTGAGCTGTCAGGGGTGCAGGGATCCGGCCTAGTCTTGTCTTGGTCGGGTGCGCTTCCGCCCGGGGTGGGGGAGCGCTTGGAGCGCCGCAGACCCTTTTCCGCAGCCCTTGTCCTCAAAGGCTCCTGGAGCCTAAGACTGTGATACCCGGGCTGGGTGCGCTGTCAGCGCCTCCCGCCCTTTTAAAAATACGTATCTTAAAACCTTGGGGAGTTCCAATTTCTTTCCTTTCCAAGTTTCCATTTATTTTAATGGTTGATGGATTCTTGTAACAGGTTGGGGACTTCAGATTTCTTCCCACGTATCGTGGATATATCAGGCAAGGAAGAAGGGAAGACGTGTTTGTAAACTAAGGGCTTTGTTTTTGTTTTTTTTTTCCTTGAGATATCACAAAAGGAACTTCTGTGGTCAAAGCCGGAAGCCACCCGTAGAGATGATAAAGTGGTGCTCCCTGTGCTGAAGTTAGAGCAGGAGCTTCATTGAACTCTAAGAGGAGGTGGAACTTTGAAGAAGTTCCTATCTCACTCTTGTTTCTGTAACAGTAGACATCAGGGATTCCTTACCGCTGTTCCCCCTTTTAATTGCCACCTTACTGTGGCAGCTTAAAAAAATAATAAACGTATACCTTCTTGGCCAATTGGGGTTACTACAGCCTGGAGTCTTACGTCAGCAAGCGCTTCTCCAGCGGCTTCGCTTTAGGTTCAAATAATAACCTACTGGAAAGTTTCCAAGGGGGACTGTCTCCATAAAAGCGTCCGCTGCCCGTCAATCCTGTGAAGATTCCAATGGTTTACAGCTTTTAAACGGGCTTTTCACTTGGGCCTTTACTTTTCATAGAAACCTGAATGTGTCAGGAAGGGAATGGGGTGGATCAACTCTCCTGAGCCTTTATTAACAGAACGGTATTTCCTTCAGCTGCCTGGGGAAATGGCAACTTGTGACATGTTTTATGGAAGGGAGATTTTGGTTTTCATCCAGTTTCACAGCGGAGACAGGTAGATGGCTAATCAGTTTCAAATTGGACCTGAGGTTTAGGGAGAACTTAGGGCTAGAATCAGTTGCTCCAGAATTTGAAGAGCTTGAAGTGGGAATAAAAGTGAAAACATTCAGAATAAAATGTATGTCATTTATGAGAGAAATTCATGCCTAGAGTTAAGTTTGTGTTCAGGTGGATCTCTGATCTCTGAGTAATCCCCCCCACCCCCCCTCCACACACACACACACACACACACACACACACAGTGCTCAGGACTGGAATGCAGTGTTGCAAGCTCTCATCTAACACTCAGTAACCTTGTTGATGAAAGGTAACACTTAAGAAGGAACTATCTAAAAAGCAAAGGTTATAGAGTACACATGTGCCAGTGTGACTTGTATGCAGAAAGGTGCCCTGACAGCCAAAAATTGATCCCCTTAGCCCTTAAATTAAGACAGTGTTAATGTTTGCAGGGAGCCTTGTAGGAAATTGGAGAGAAATGGCATGTGATGTTGAGTGCCTACTATGTGCCAAGCTTTGAGTTGGGCATGTTGCATGCATTTTTACATTTACTTCTCACAGCCGTAAGAAGTTATTTCCAGAGGCAGATGAGGTACACTGACTCAACATGCAGTCAGCATTCAGTCTGAGAAGCAGAACCTTTCAGAGGTGTGTGCGTCTGTTTATGTCTCTTTATCTTTGACAACCTGTCTGCTTGATTCCAAAGTTCACTTTTCTTCCCTCTGTATCCCACTGCTTCCCGGAGGGAAGACAGAATAGAAATCAGCCCAGCAGTCTTAATGAGATTCTCAGATAGGGAGTTGTTCAGGACAGAAAAGAGTAAGCATGCGGTTATGAAAAACTGGGAAGTAAGAGGAAAGCATGATGACATCACAGGGGTAGTGGTGACGTCTTCACGTTCTGTTTAGTAGAAGAAACTCCTTAAACTTTTTTCTTAGCGGCACCATTTGAAACTGGATACAAGTACCAGAAGGGCTGGTTTTCCACATCTTGGTTTATTGATGTCCTTCAGTGCTCTGGTTACTCAACCTTTAGGCTTATTACTTTTATTCATTTTCTAGACAGTGGGTGTGGCCTTTAGTAAGTAGTGGGAGGAAAGAATAAGAAAGGCACTTACTCTCCTAAGGCTCTGTGGCTTCCAGCCAGGCGTCTGACTCCTCACTGCATGCTAAAGGTAGGCTTTGTTAAGTCCAGGGTGCTCCTGCTGGCCAGGCATGCCTAGGTGAGCATACACAGGGCAGGGTGGAGAGGGTGCTCTGTGAGCTGGGTTTCTATGCCTAAATTTAATTTAAAAAGAAAACGAGAAATTTGAAAAGTGTCCGGTGATTATTACCTCCTTCCTTCCGTCCTTCCACCCAAAAGAAATGAATCACACTGCTTGAGGTTCAGCTGTTGGGTCTGAGGGAGGCCTAAGTCCCAGGTACAGAAACAAATTTTATTGTCAGTTTTTATAGATTTGTTTGGCTCTGATGCTGAAGGTTAGTTACATCTTGGGGCAAAAGAGAAAAATATTTAAATGACCCAAATGATTTTAATTGTAACTGGTTAAAAACTATTATTAATTTCAGTGGTTTCCAGTAATTTTCGGAGATTCAACTGAGCAGTTGGCAAAGATTTGGTGGGCTGCTGCTCACAGCAGGCTGCATACAGTCAGTCTTGTGTGGCTAACAAAGACTGGAATCAAAATTAGGAGTAGTACGTTGTCAGCATCTTGATCTTTTTGGAGGAATGAATGCAGTGTTTATTAGGCCAATTTTTTGGCAGGTTCTGGCTTAAGTTTTCAGATCATTTCAATCTTATGACACTCGTTCAGTTATATGATTTTATTTCTGTATTTATAGATGAGAAAACTGTCTCTGAGAAGTTAACTTGAAAAAGCCATTCAAATATGTAAGTTGGAATTTGACTTTGTGTTCACTCTGTTCAGTTCTCAAGCCTGTCATTATTATAAAATCATCTTGTTTTTCTTTCAAGTGAGGAATTTCTTTTAATTCGATGGCATTATAAAGAATCACTAATAAGGTAATGGCATGATTTAGTGGAAAGGGCACCAAGCTTTATGTCAGAGCTCTGGGCTTGACCTCAGAAATCACAAGCAGCCCCACCCCTTCTGGAGGGTACTCTCTCTGGCTCCCTACCCTCACCTGGAAAGTGGGCCTGTGCCACTCCTGGGCTTATCTGCCTGACTGGTTGCTAGTGAGAAAACAAACTCATCTCTGAAAGGTCGTGGAAAATGGCAAAGTGATGCATATCTTTTGTCCTGTGTATCTTGTTTCTGTGTTTCTTCTCCAAAGAGTCTGTTGGACATGACTTATAGGGTCAACCAAACTACCTGGTACATGTAATCCACACATACTATAAGGTTTTCATTCTGGAGATGGTGCTGGTTTTGTAATGAAAGGATCATTGTAGGGCCTCCCTGGTGGCCTAGGGGCTAAGTCTCAGTCCTATCAATGCTACAACCTAAGTCGTTTGAGCTGACCTACGCATTGCCGCAGACCTCCCCTGTCTCATTCGCTGCTCCCCTCAGCAGTGTATTTCAGTAAATCTGCCTGTTCTGCTCCCCGCTCTATGTCTGATGAATTTTCTCACCCCTGTATCTCTGGCCCACACCCTAGGTCTATGCAAAAATAAATAAAATTTAAAAAATAATAAAGAAAGGGTGATTGTGAATTTATTTAGGAAAGCCCAGAGTGACACCTGAGATTCCAGAGTTTACTGTTGCTGACTCGCATTCAGGAGCCAAGCCTTCTTTTCCTATTTCCCCTCAGTTAAAATATAATACACTGATATTTATATAGACAATCTCCCCTGCCTCTAAATTTAAAATTTAAAATAATGAGATTGAGAGTCTCATTATTTCAATGAGGAATGATCTCATTATTCCAAATCACTTGCCTCTATTGGCTTATTTCACTCTGGTTTTCTCTATGCGCATATATGTTTTTTCTACTTGGATAGGCTCATAATATAAATTTGAATCCTGCCTTTCACTTGTTATACATAAAGCTTTCTCAGTTTCCCTACTCACTCAAAAAATATGGCTGCATATTACTCCACGATCTGGAGAAGCTGCACTTTACTTCACTGTGCCTCCAATCTAAGTGATTTCAGTTGTTGCTAACTATGTTTAAATGGCTTCTAAAACTTTTTCAGCCCTCATCTTGGTTTTCTGCTCTGCCTAGATACTGATGACTTTCACAGAACATGGATTATTGAAAAGGCAATTTTGGGGTCAAAGGTATTCACATTTTTGAGGCCACTGGTAACACCAGAGTTGATAATCTTCTTGTTAAACCATCACAGCAATGATTGAAGGACTCACCTTTCACTGGAAACCGTTTTTTGTTAATTTGTAAGACAAAAACTTGGTTGTTTGACTTTGTAAATCTTTCTTTACTACTAAGTTAATTATTAGTAGGTTACTATTGTTTCTAGTATTTGTCTCTAATCCTTTATGGTCAGTTCTGAAATTCTCAAAACTCTAAATACCAGAAGGTTTTTCTAAGACTTTGGACATACTCTGTTGATAGTAAAATCTAACCTGGACCCATGTGAGATTCTGTAGTATATAGTTATTTCACTTGGTTGGAATAATGCTAAGTTTTGCTACTGTAATGTTAATGAGCTTGATTTCTCAGTGTTTCATGATGTGTAGTAAATGCATTCAGTGACCTGTCTAGTAGCCAAAGTCCAACCTCTGAAACACATTTGACCTCCAGGTTTTCAGATGAGGGATTCTGGCCCCACACTTGTTCTTTTGAGACTCAGCTGTTGGA